AGATACCCTGGATAGTGATCCAGGTTCTTTTGTGGGCGGAGTGAGAGAAGAGTGGGGTGGGGTCCTGGAGGAACGGACGAAGTATTTCAGAATTAGAGGGGAACAGGGAACGATTTGGAGAATGAGGGTGGTAGAAGAAAGTTAAAGAGTATCCTTTGGAGGAGAGTGAACGGTTTGGAACATCACTCTAGGGGGTGTGGAGTAAGGTTCTGTAAAGACTCGTTTCTCTGGGAGGTAGGAGAAAGGGTTAAACAGCTTGGCAGTAGGTCCCAGCGAAAGTCCGGGTAACTGGGAGGTTGGTGAAGCGTGGGGAAGCGGATTGAGAAGTCCTAGAAAGTGGGCGGGACTAGAAATAGGAAGTGTTTGTAGCCCAAGCTGAAGGGATGGGAAGGGGGAGGGTGGAGAAGATGGGGGCTGGTGGGAGGAAGAGTCCGCGTTTGAGGGAGACTTTGAGCAGGGCCAGGAGGCAGGGGCTTTGGGGAACATAGAGTGCTGTAGCGATAAGAGGAGGAAGGTTTGAGATGGGGTTGCAGAGTGGCAGAAGATGGAGAAAACTGGAGTAACTCAGATCGACTGAAGCCATCTTTTCCACTCATTGTCTGCAAATACCAGTAACTGATTCCCTCCATCATGGGAATCCTAAAATGTGATGGGAAAGTACCACGTGTATGCATAGTATCCACACACGTTTTTGAACACACTCTTCACTAACGAAAAGTTTGGAAGCATTCAGTTCCACCTACCCTCCATAGCCCCTTTTTGGAGGGAGGCAAGCTTCTCATTCAGCAACAGGATTTTAGCACTTGATAGAAAGCTGTCCACAGACAAGATCCCTTTTAGACCATCCCCTTCAGTCACAAAACCACAATAACACTAATAAAAATAATCTGTATTCATCTGTATATCAAACTTAACTGAATTGTTCATGTGGTGGAAAGGAACACAGAAAAATAGTCCTATTTAGAGGGAAAAAACCTTCCAAAACTGAAGCAGTTTGATGAACCCTGACTACCATGTTTGAATTGTTCTCCCATTGTGTAAACTTGATTTTATTCTGATGACCTGCTGCTTCTGTAGGATATTTTACTGCATTATAAACATTAAAATAATAGTGTACTAGTAAGACATTCTATACTAAGAAAAAGCCATGTTCCTCCAGGTAATCAATAGCTAGATCCTAAAGGATTACCATGTATTAGGTACTGTACTGAAGACTACATTCATAGTATCATTCTCACAACTTGAAGTGGGTTCTTTTTTATGCCTGATTCATTGGTGGGGAACTGAAACTTGAAGTTAAATTACCCCTGTCATACATAGGATAAGTGGCATAATCATAGAGTCCAGATCTGATGACTTTCCTCCCTGTATCCCTAAACACAAGGAATGGAACAGTCCCTGGGACCAAATAAGAACTCAATAAATGCTAACTGTTGACCTAGCAGACGTTAAAGCCTTCATTCCCTTTCTTTAAAAAGCTTAAAAGGAAAGATTCTAATGAAAACAGTTTATAAAACATAGCACTAGGAAAAATGTATTAATTGTGGTTAAGTTAAACCATTGAGTCAAGGCCCCTTTCAGTAAAAGCTGCATGTTCTTCGGCCATATTTTATTTTGGGGGCAGTTACCATTATGGAGATAATTGTTCCCTCTATGAGACAGTAATCGTCTAACAATTTAAAAATTCAGAAACCAAAACAATTAAATGTTGGAGATTAAAAGGAATCAATGTCAAAGAACGTCCTCTATAAACACTTAGGATAATAAACAGCCTTGTTCTTTTTTTAATTGCCCGCCCCACAGATGTAATGGCTGCTTTGTTGGCAAGTTACAACGTCTGCATAGGTTACTTGCCATTTTGTAAAAAGTGCTGTGAGAAAGGCTAGTTTGGTAAAGCAATCAGTTCTCCCACAGGCATCCTCTATTCCTACCTACTTTGCCTAAGGGCGACTGTTGCAGGGGGAAAAAAATAGGATTCAGGTGATAGGATATTTTAAGGCCCTAAAGTAGAATTTTAAAATTTGACAATATAGATTAGTAGGAGAAGGGGCTGTGAGAGGACTGCCAGAGAGACCATACCATGGAGTTCACATCCCCGCTGTACCACTTTGTGACTTGTTACTTGACCTTTAGCTTAAGTCTGTTTTCCTCATCTGTAAAATGGGAGTGGTAAGACAGTGCCTACATAATAGAATTGTTTTCATTTAAGAACTTAAAGATTCCAGATTAAATGATCAGAAAAGTGAGAAATGAAACTTTTTGTATTATAAAGATAATGCTCTGCCTGGACTTCTTTCTTAGAAATTGTGGTGGCATTTTGATTTTTTCAGGTTTTTAAGCTAATAGTTTTCGTAGTAATTAACTTCAAAACAGAGATAGAAGCAAAATGACAATATCTATCCCACCCAGATTGTTCTGATTCCAGTCAAACCTTTTGGGTTTTGATTTTAAATTGTTACCCTTTCTCCTTCAAGAAACCTTGGAATTGCTTTTGGTGGTTATTTCGGTTAGGACCTCCTTATTTGTCAGAAGACCTGTGGCCTCCTGAGCTACTGGGTTACTGTTCTTAATTGGTCCCACATCTGGTGTTGCTTCTGAGGGTGTGGTTTATTTGAGGATGAGGAGGCCTTCTTGATTCTCTGTTGCCCTTCTGACCAGATCTGGGGTGTATGCAGTGCCTGCCTGATGCCTTTTCATTCTCACTGTCACTTGGTTTTCTCCTTTGGGAGGACAGAATTGGGTAGCCAAAACCAGTGTAGATAAAGCCAAATGACCTAGGTTCTTAGGCTGGCTCCACCACATACTGGCTATGTGTGTGCTACATACAAGCAAGTGTATCTCAGTAGCTACATCTGCAAAATAGGGATAAGTACCTATCTTGAAGTGGTCGCAGTGATAGAGATACCACCCATATATGTGCACAGCATCTGATTCATACTAGTAACGCACTAAATGCTAGCTGCCGTTTATATTTGAAATGCAGTGATTTGACCGACCTCATGTTCCCAAAGTATATTTGGTGCTCAAGAGTAGAGGTTCTGCTGTCCTTTAAGTCTGTTTGATGGCAGTGCACTTTTTCCTGGAGATTCAAAATGAAGATTAACCGATCAGTCAAGAAACCTGTTTTAATTTATTTGGTAAGCTTGAGCACAATTATACTTACTAACTTGCTGTACTGCATTTGGTAAACACTGGACTAATAACCTTCCACTAAGCTTCATCTATTTATTGGAAAGATTTATACAGAAGTTGTAGTTTAGATACCCCCATGAATCTGTCCTTCCCAAGGCAAGTACAAGGGAAGCCGGTTTCTAAGAAAAATGTTCCGTGTAAACCCATCCTTGTGTAGTACCACAAACCTACCACCAGGTGGTGGTATTGTATAAAATGAGTCTAAGTGTAATGGTACAGTATTTTTAGTGTCTAAGTGAAAGATGGTCAAAGCATTTGATGAGAGTTAGGTCAGAAATCAGCTTACCTTTCACTAAAGTTGACTGGAGAACTTCTTAGTCCTGAGGGCTCCTAGTTAAAAGAAGTCCTTTGAACCTTGAAATGCCAGATAGATAACCAAAGTGGTAGGCATGAAGTTTATAGCATCACCAAGGAAAAAAGTAAAATCTAAAAGAACTAGCTTTTAACAATATCCTTGAGGAAGACAAATTATTAGTATAGTGGGCTGTGCAGTGTATGTCTTGGGTTCAAATTCTGGTTCTTTGACTAGTAGCTATGTGACCTTGAACCCAATTGTGATAGCTTGTTGACTGTTTACATTGTAGTTGACCATTGTTGATCTTAAGCAACCTTATATGTATATCAGTTTTTTTAAAGTTTACACCTTATAGAACTGTTAGAGGGATGAAATAGAATACACAAACCATTAAGTGCCTAGTATACAAGTAAATACAAGCTACTGTTATTATCCTAAACCTTTTTTTCCCCTCTACAGCTTATTTTCAGTTGCTTTTTTAAAGACGGAAGGCTCATGGTGCAAATTATTGTTTCCAGGTGAGTACATTTGAAGACTTTTTTATTCAGCTTGAATGCTTGGAGCTCTGTAGCTTTAATACTTTATTGGAAGGCTCAGGGTCCTCAGGTATATCTTATACAGATCCTTGCATTTCAATCTCTAGTTCAGTGCGTAACACTGCCCAGTTTCCCAAGAACTTGTGCTCAACAAAAAGTTCCTTTGGGCCTTGAATGGTGGTGTAGGACACTAGTCATCCTTCACCCCACAAAAATATTGTAACCGCCAGCCCTTTGCTTGCAGTGCTGGGGCTGGAGGCCTGGCAGAATGGGTGCTGATGGAGCTACAGGGGGAGATCGAGGCTCGCTACAGCACTGGATTAGCTGGAAACCTCCTGGGAGACCTACATTACACCACTGAGGTGAGGGGGCTTTTCTTTCCCTGCCTAATGCCTCAGGAAAGCAAGCTACACCAAGGTGGTGCTCCCAGGACCCAGAGTGAGGACTGCCCTCAGGTTTGTTATTCAAGGTCTAGCTAATCTGCTAAGCTATCTGCTTGTTCTCCCCTCACCTATGTAATAGCAGGGAAATTTAGCTTTGAGGAGTCTCGAAAAGTCACAGTTCTAAAAATGAAAAATCTCTTGCCTGGGCAATAAAGGGCACGAGGGTGGGTTGTCCACTGTGGCTGCTCAGCAATGGAAGAGTCAGACCAGGGAGTACAAGTGCCAGTATTGCCTGCCAAGAGCATCTCTAGGAAGCACCTGCGCATTGTGATGTTGCCCTGAACCTCAGGCATTCATTCTTGTTCTGCCAAAGGGAATCCCTGTGCTGATCGTGGGGCATCACATCCTGTATGGGAAAATCATCCACCTGGAGAAACCTTTTGCTGTCCTTGTCAAACACACTTCTGGGGAGCAGGACTGTGATGAACGTGGCTGCGAGACTGGCACCCGGTACTTGGTGACAGCACTCATCAAAAACAAGATTCTTTTCAAAACTCGCCCCAAGCCCATTATCACCAACGTTCCCAAGAAAGTATGAAAGAACCCCGGCTTTTCCCTAGAGAGCGGCCAACTCCTTGGACTCGTGCTCCACTGCCACCTCGAGGACGGCTCGACGGTTCCCTGGGACCACAGGGGGGTCCTGTCCTAAACACAGGCCACCCACTGGGCATGATCTCAGATTCCCTCCTCATGACATCTGGTTCTCTTGGTGGAAACCTGGCTCCATTTCCAAGGAACCCTTCTCCTTTTCCAGCTTCATCAGGTTCATTGGCTTCAAATCCAGCACCTTTCCCTGCTGGTGCTCGTGACCCAGGCATGGCTTCTTTTCCAAGGGGAATGAACCCCACTGGCACAAGTGGAGTTTCTTTCCCAAGGCCAGGTGGCCTCTTGGGCCCGGGTCCAGGCCCGGGCCCGGGCCCAGGCCCAGCTCTAAACCCTAGAGCAGGGGCTCTTCCAGGCCCAGGGCCTCTGTCTAACCCAAGGTTAGGGGGTCTGCCAGGGCCAGGTCCTATGCCCAACTCAAGGGCAGGTGGTCTCCTTGGAACAGGTCCTGACTCTAGAAGCGGCGGCCCCATGGGCCCTGGATCTGCACCCAACCTGAGAACAGGTATCCTCTTGACTTCTGGAAATGGTCCTCCCAATAATAGGCCCGTTGGCCTGGGCCCTGGACCAAGTCCCAATCTGAGATCGGGCTTCGTAGGTACAAACCCTGCCCCAAGGTCAGGTGTGTTTCCAGGCCCTGGCCTGGGGCCCACCCCAAGAACAGGTGGCCTGGGCCCAGGCCTTGGGCCCAACCCAAGGGCAGGTGGCTTAGGCCCAGGCCCTAATCTGGATACCAGAGCAGGTGGCCTCTTGAGCACAGGGTCTGGTCTTAACTTAAGAATGGCTGGACCTCAGGGCCTAGATCTTGCCCCTATTCTAAGAGCAGCAGGTCTTTTAGGAGCAAATTCAGCTTCTTTCTCACAGACCTCTGGAAACATGGGCACAAGCCCACCTTCCATGGCAAGAATACCTGGCCCCATGGGCCCAAACTCGGGTCCTGGCTCTCGAGGAATTGGCCTTCCAGGGCCAAGCCCATCTCCCATGTCAAGGGCTCCTGGCCCCATAGGCCCTAATTCGGCTCATTTTTCGAGGCCAGCTGGCCCCATGGGAGTAAATGCTAACCCCTTTCCAAGGGGGACAGGTTCAGGGGCACTGAACCCAGCTGCCTTCTCCCAGTCTTCTGGCACATTAGCTTCAAACCCAGCTACCTTCCAGAGGTCTGCAGGCCTCCAGGGCTCAAATCCAGCAATTTTCCCAAGAGCCTCTGGGCCTTTAGGACCCAATCCAGCTAACTTCTCAAGGGGCACTGGCTTACAAGGTCCAAGTCCAACTACGTTCCCAAGGTCTACTGGCCCACTAGGCCCTGGCCAGGTTACTTTTCCCAGGTCAGCTCCAGGGCCTCTGGGCTCTTCTCCAGCGGGCCCTGTGGGTATCAACCCAGCTCCTTTTGCAAGGCCAACTGGGACCCTGGGTCTAAACCCATCTTCCTTTCCAAGGATGAATGGCCCTGTAGCCAAGACTTTGGTCCCATTTCCTAGAGTGGGTAGTCTCCCTGGCACAAACCCAGCTGCTTTCCCCAGACCAGGGGGTCCAATGGCTGCAATGTACCCAAATGGAATGTTACCCCCTTAAATAGCATTTTCTCTCCAGGACCACCTTGGTTTCCAGGCATTGTGGTTCTGGGCAGAGGCTGTGTTTTAGGCAAAAGGGTAGACACGGAGCTACAGTCTGAAGTACATAGCTGGGGCTCAAGTTCAGATGAGCCATCTTTTTCAAATTCTGCTTCTTTCTTGATTGAAGGTGAAATGTTATTTGTGGGACATGGACTACGGCAGGTGGAACGATCCTAGCCTCGAGAGAAAGGATCTCCAGCCTTCCAGAAGCCTGCTGTGCTTTTGTCCCACAGCTTTCTGCCCCTTGTTTCTTACTAGTTTCTTGAATTGTTCTTGTGGAGTTTCCTCAGGGATACATTGGCCTGCAGGTCCCAATTCACATGCAGTCCCCTGCTCACCACTGGAGAATCGGCTCACTGCTCTCTAGAAATGTTGCATTGGTGAACGGACCATGCTTCAGCAGCTCTGACCTGGGCAGCTTGGACCTGGTCATCCTCTACTGCCATACCTTTCCCTGGGGGCTTTAACACAGAATAGGGAGGTGGGTTACCACTTTAAAGACCCACCAAATACAATTTTTACTTGATGACTGGTCCTGCAGCTTCCTTCCCTGGGACTTAGAGGCGGCCAGAATCAAGGCTCCACTGCTCATACAACTCCCTCTCCACTGGTACTCCCGATCAAAGAACCTCAGAATTCAAACTGATGTGGATGGGACATGGGGTGGGGGGTTGGGGGGCGAAGGGGAGAAATCACTGTGCTTTGTTCAACCTGATGTGAAAGGATGGTTGTTTTTCCTGCGTTGTATCTTTTCTAACTGTTTCTTTAATAAATGGGATGAGAGGGCTGCTGATGTCACTCCATTTTGTTACCTGTTCCACAAGGAAGGAAGTTCACCCACTGCTTTTCATGGTTTCATCTTGGCCACAATTCTCCATTATCTGCCGGCTAAAACGCCTTCACTTAAGGAAGAGGCGAGCTTGATTTTTAGCTTTAGCTCACTCATCTGCCAATAATTTCACCAAAGACCCTGCCCACCCTGTACAATAAAAGTTAAGCCACCGTAGGTGTACAGTTATCAAGGTAGGCCTACTGTAGTCCCCAGTCGGGGGTCAGGTGTGACACCTTATCCTGTTTCTGAGTTACACTTGAGTTACCTCAACTATATTTGTAGCTCAAGTGCTGCTTTTAAAACTGGAATAAAGAGCTAGCTTTCATTAAGTACAAAAAGGAAGAAAATAGCTCCAAGATAATAGGATTATGTGAGAATTTTTATTTTGACAAATGTGCAGTATAAAAAACTTGACATGAAAAGTTAAAAAAAAAGGCAGGTAAAAATAAATATGTTTACAAATTACTGTAGAAATAATACAAAAAAGACAGTTAAAATTCTCAATGAGGAAAAACCAAAACGTGTCCAATTGTACAAAGGCTCTTCCCTTGCTAGAAATGGGGATAAAGCTGAAGACCCAGTTTGGTTTCACTGCTGAAAAATATACAAAATAACTTAGAAAAACCAGTCGAGGTCAAACGTTGTGAGCCCACTACTTGTACTTGCCGACTTTTGATGTGAGGAAAGTTGATAACCACAGTGCAAGACAGAGCTGATGGTAGGACAGCCAAGAGTTTTCCATCTGGGAATCCATCTTATATTAACCTTCAAGCAAAGGCTGAACAAAAACAAGCTCTTAGTGAAGTCTGAGCTCTGCAGTTGGCTGACCGGATTTCCTCCATTGCAGTGCTCAAAATAGTTTACTTCTTGGCCAGCAAAAACACGGAAGAGCCTGGAACAACTGCCTTTAGCAAATGCCTGCTGCCTCTTCTAGTCTTCATGGATCGGGTCCAACATCAGCCAGCAGTCTTATCAGAAACTTGAGGTGTGTGTGATGCAGCAGTGTTGGCTGCATTTGGAAAACCCTTGAGTTCATGGGAGATGAAGGAAAGCACCAGGGTTTGCCAGTCTGTGGCTCAGCACACTGTGTTCCTTTGTAGGAAGCACCTGGGCACAGTAGAGGCTTGCCCCCTCAACGCCTCTCCCCCCCAGTGCTGGTTCTGCGGGGGTAGCTGGACCCTGTGAGAGTGGATTGTGTGGAGAGAGCACGCATGAGCAAGCAACCCCTGATTCAGAGGCTTAGTCAAGGCCCCGGGTTTCAAACCCAAGAGCTGAAAACAGTCTGTGGATTGCCAATCTCTAGAAAAAGGCGTTCCCTCACTTATCCACAAAAGCAGAGGGACATAAAGAGCCTCCAGTGGCCTGAGAAAGCAAGAACCTTAGGGTTTAGGAATCAATTCCGTCTCCTAGTTTGGTTTCTGGAAAGAAGCAAATGCAGTAGTGACTATCCACAGCTTGGCTGTAAGAATTCCTTGGAGAAGCCACTGAGGAGAATGGACAGTCTCAAAGATGACTAGCTTGGGCATGAGGGTTAACTTGGGGAACACTGAAAAGCTTTCCATTAGAGACGATTGTCAAGAATTGTAGCCTAAAAGTCATGCATGCTACCCAGCTGCCAAGGAATCTGTCCCAAGCAGTTCCAAGATGGTAGCCAGTTTGGTCAGAAGCTCCTAGTAGGTTTTCCCCCACGTGCTGAGGGCAGGCTTGCCTATTACAGAGGAGCCTGTGCGAGTCCAGGCTCTGCCTCACTTGCCATCTTGAAAAACCCAACGAGGAGGAGGGTGAAGAGGTGACGACATCACATTGAAAGTGAAGTGAGGATGCTGTCCTAGGACTCAGCTGAATTTGAGGAGGAATTCAGGAGGAGACAGGTTGAAATACTGAGTTCTCACTTCCTTTCTTAGTTTGCTGGGGTTCAGCCTTCCTGGTGGATGACCAAAACATTTTATCTCCCCCAGTAGAGGTCACAGACAAGCCAACCTAGATGTCTGGGCAGTTCCCAGGTGGCATACGTAAATAGGCCTCCAGATAGCCATGGCCTTTAGCTCCCCTGCCAATCTGTTCTTCTCAGCAAACTTTCCTTGTTACTGTTCATGTCTATATACACACCTAAAAGCAGTTCAGTGCTAACTCCCTGTCAGTTTGGCTCATCCTTGGGATGTGGAGATTTGGAATGGGGTATATCACATAATAAAGCACCATTCCTGTACCCTGTTTTCTGATGCCCAGAGATCAGCCTTCCGGGCCTCGTATCTCTGGCACAATCTTATTGCATTGATAACTAGATGGGGGGGGTGCTATTTACTAGCTGGCCCAGATCTCAGAAGTTTTCCCACAAGCTGGCATTGCTCATTCACCTATCAGAAGTTGCCACTGAATGGAACTTACTCTGATGTAGCACACTTCTGAGTTCCCTCTGGCTCCTGGGGCAGGGAGTGGAATCTTTCCCAGAGACCACCATGTGGCAGACAGGCAGCCTGGAAACATGTAAGTCCCCTCCGCCCCACCCTGAGCTGGAATCAATGTTGCCTTCTCTAAGCAAAACTGCCCCCAGCCATACTACAAATCACCTTTCTTTGCACTTCAGATTTGTCCTTTGGACCATTAAGAAATTAAAACAGCATCCCTCCTCCCTCCCACCCCGTCTTTTCTCTTCCATTCCCTTTCCCTCCCTTACCCATTGCACTTTTTCCCGCTCTGCTTGAGGGTTATGTCACACCTCAGCAAAAGCTAAGCTATACTGCTCTGGCTTCTTCCCACATCGCCGGGCAATGATGGCCAGATACAACATGAGGAGGGCCACCCAGTAGCAGCCATACAGGATGGCCCCAGAGACGAGGAAGGCCAGCTCCGTCTCACTGAACAGATCCTGGCAATAAGCTGTGTACGCCAGTCCTCCCAGAAGGACAGCCACCCAGATGGACACAGGGATGAGGCCAATGAAGTTCACCACAATGGTTTTTCGGCCAGAGGTGCCCCAGCCGGACTTGTTGATGGTAGCAATGGCAAAGATCTTGGCTGGCAGGAGGCTGGACATATAGAGAAGGGAGTAGAGGGACATGAAGATCATCTCTGCATTGCCCCGAAGGAAGCAGGCATAGGTAGCCTTGATAATGCCCACCAGCTGCACCGTCAGCAGGAAGAGGAGAATGTTCCAGATGCGGCCACGGTAGAAAAGCTGTATGACTGTGGCGATGAGGAAGAAAGGGAAAAAACCCGTGACCACTGATTCGTAGGTCATCCAGAGGTGGTGCTTATGGAACCAAAGAGAGTTGTAGAGCCACTCCCGGAAGTAAGACTTGCTCCAGCGGGTCTGCTGGTTGAGCCACCGGAGGTACTTCGTGGGGGTTTCTGTGAGGCACTTGGAGCGCGCTGTATATTTAGTCCTGTAGCCAAGGCTCAGGACGCGGTTGGTGAGGTGCCGGTCATCCCCAAAGCTGCACTTGCTGCCTAGGAACTTCTGATGGTACCAATCTTCCAGGAATTGCTGGAGGAGGCTGTTGCGGTACATGCCCAGCGGCCCACTAATACACTGCACACAGCCAAAGTAGGACTGGCAGGCCCGTTCCACATTGAAGGCCATCCAGTACCGCACACTGCTCAGGAAGGAGATCCATGAATCATACTTGTTGAGGATCTGTAAGGGAACCATAGATGCTGGGCCTCCTCACCTGAGACCATGAGCCCCAGGAGACACGCCGGAGACCATGAAGCCTCCCTACCCTGAGTTCTGTAGCCCATTGCTCAAATTCCAGCCATGAGTCCTAGCTCATCCAGGGCTGGGGAACCCGAGGCTTAAAGGAGCCAACCACACCCACTCTCCTGAGCACTAGCCCCAACTCTCAAATGTGCTATCTCCATGGATTGTCCCAGTGAAGTTACTCTAGCAGTCAAAGCCACCTTCAGTCCCAGGAGGCAGCCTGTGGCAGTGACAGAGAGAAGGCCTTGAGAAAGATGCAAAACAACACCCAGCCACCTGTCCTGACCCTTCAGTTGGAAGGCTTCTTGGGAAGACCTGGTAGGTTGCCAGCAGTACCCTCTGAAAGAAGATATTGCCCCTTATTCGGACCACACTGTCCAGAGCCCTTCAGAGCACCTTGCCTAAGAGCAAAGGTTTCTCAGGGCCCTAACTTCGGACGTGCTTGCTGCACTACCAGCAAAAAAGGAAGCACCCTCCAGGGTCAATGGCCTCAGTAGCCTGTGCCCCTCACAGCAGCATACATTCTCTACATACCTGGTAAGTGGTTTTTTCCCCCCTTAGGTTGAAAAACGGCAGGAAAGGGTTGAGTAGCAAGTGAGTCCTTTGAA